GAGGGAGAACCGGCTGCAGTGCGCACACTCCTCCCCCGACTCAAGGGATGCTTGGGCGTGTTTCAAGCCGAGGCACACCACACAGGTTGGGTGGGTGTCCCAGCTTGATATGTTATTGCCACACGGGCTGGCCCGTGGCTGTGGGCCCTCCACTGGTTTTGCTGAAGCCCCCGCGGCCTCCATGTTCCAGGGAGATGTATGAAGCTACGTTAGCTGGTGACAGCTAGGCTAACCAGGTATGGCTAGGCTTGGGGGGGAGTGTTGCAGCTTCCCGTTGGGGTAGCTCAAACAGTTAAAGTTTTGCTACTTATATAAGTATTGCTACCTTTTTTTTACGGTATTGCTMCCGATAACCAGACACTCTGTGCGGTGCTGTGCTAACCCAGAGCAAAGTGCCCAGCRACCGCGCTTGCGCACRAGTCTATGGACAGTTTAGCTAGGCTYTGAGAAGAGGCAGTACCTGGAGAGAGCTGGTGGAACTTCTGCTCGTTGCGAGAAGAGATTTTKGAATARCCTGTCAGTGCAGGAACAGCCCTATATATGGGGGAGGGTCGTGGCCCTCCTTGTCACTGACARGCTGATTTCCAGCCAATCCTGGCTAGCRTAATGTAATATGAGCTTCTGATGAGATCACGCCGAAGGCGTTCCCAATGTGAGACAYGAAACGAATGCTATGAAAGAGAACTTCTTTTGTTAGAATTCTACATACTTCCTGTTAGAAGAAAGACATTTTCCACTTAACAAGGACTGTCTAGTGCTCTGCAGTGACTTCTTGTAATTGTCACGGGGACAACCCGAACCTGTTTTTCCATCCTTTAAAAATAAATCTGATAAGGATGCTCCTGGACGGCATCCTTTGAAGAACACTCAGGCCTTGATTTATAATCACTGTACTATGTATAAAACTATGTACTTCTTCAGTCGGAGGCTTCTTCAACTTCGCTGTAATACAGACCGCTACAGAAGACCTTTCCTGCCCACAGCCATCAGCATCTACAATAAGTTTTT